TATTTATTTAATATCATAAACTTGATGCGCGTTGCGCAAGCATCAAAAGCATATCAACGTTTACCCTGTTGAAAGTTTCTAATAACATGTTTTATTCTTATTTCGACGGTAATAGCAGTGTATATCTATAAATTTCCGTAAGTATAATGGAGGTAAATATATTATATATTTTAGTATTTTTCACATATATGCAGCATAGTATATTTACCTCGATATTTAATGCGTTTGGCATTTTATATGCATAACATAATATACAAATATAGGTAAATACAGGTTTATTTATCATTACGAAAAAGATGTTCTACGCATACACAATACTGAATATTTTTATGAACACGAATTAATGAGGCATCTGAGTAAAGTATTTTTCTACATACTAGCTTGAGTAATGCTTTAATTATACGTCAGACTTTCCTTAATAAATATTTTATGCGTACACAATAATATATTTACGATTAATAATCGCTATTTATATTTGATCTACATATATGAAGACTTTTGGCAAGTTTGATCAACTAATTAATTATAGCTATAGTAACTTATAGATTTATTTGTGTTAAACTTAAGTTTATCAGAGAAAGAGAGAGGAAGAGAGAGAGACTTATCATATCATAAATTAAAAATAGTATAACAATAAAAAATATTCGGTACAAATAAAAAGAATGCGTTTTTTAGTCAACTATAGAAAATATAGTGATATAAGATTCTTGAAAATAAAAGAACAGCGTTATTCAAGTAAACACAAATAGGTACAGCATTTTACAATTAGGATTAGGCTTCTCTGATGCTTATTGTTTTCACGAAGATGAATACATATACAATAATGACAAGTGTGACAATGAAGTAATCTATCGAATAGACTACGTTAACAAGGTACATTTCTTTTTTGTACAACAAAATGTTAGCTATAGCTTAGCTAATGATCACAGATATGAGATCAGGTATAAGGATATGGCACTGAAGTTATGCATTACTTGAACAAAATTTATCTCATATAAATAAACACATAATCGAAAAATTTTTTATCGGAACAATGATGCTGACTGGTTTCAGGTTTACCACAAGAGACTGCAATAATGACTCTATTTGTTTACATACAGATCAGATACAAATAACAAAAACACGAAATTTAATAGAAAGTGATAGATTTGATATTCTAAAATCATTAACATAGGATATAAATACACAATTTAATAATAAGCATGAGCAATGTTTTCAATGAGAATTATTTACATAGTATAATATACAGCACTTAACAAAGTATATCATTTGGTCTTTTAAACATGTGTATCGTAATTTATACATGCAAGCATGGTGAAAAAATTTTGTTATATAATTTAAGAAAACGTCATGTGTGTGTATGTGTGTATTAAGCAATTTTAAAACAAGATCATACATATATATAGTGAATTGAAATACTGTAATTATGTAAAGGAACAAGCTATAGGATGCTAGTTGTAAAGCTTTCCTAGTTTAGTAACTGAACGACATTTAAGTTGTGCAATTTTCCTTTGGATGTCTTCATTTTTATTTATTTCAAGTTCGATTAAGTCATATTACTCGTTTTTTTTCATCTTTACGTAGCTCGTACTTTAACAAAAGACGGACATTTGTGTGTGTGTGTGTGTATGTTATGTTTGTTACAAGAAAAATATATATATACAGATTACTTTCAATTTTACGTAGCATATAATATTATCTCTTCCTTTTTTTCAATGGAACGTAAAGTTTCTTGTTATTATGTGAATCGGCTATCTAGCTATTCTGTGTTCCGATAGATACCTGTATATATATACATATGTAAGGTTGTGTGTGTGTGTGTGTGTATGGGGGGTGTAAGTATTTATAGCATAAAGCTTTCTTTCCTAATATAATACAGCGCTATATAAGAAAGAAAATAAATAATAAATTACAAGAATATTTTGAACAAATTCAACATTTTCAGTATTTTCAGTATTTTACGCCCGAATCTTCGTATTTTTATCTTGATAAAAACGATGCGTATCAAAAGCCTGCAGTTACAACAAATAACTATAATTACAAAAAACTCAACAAATTTTGACTCATATCACAACTACCGAATATTAATTCGATTATACGAACCAATATGCTAAGTGTTTGTGCAAAATATATGTTTTGTTTATTTTAAATCTGTATATTAATGTAATCAATGTTAAAATTAATCTAAGATGTTTGATTTGCGTGTACTTTACATATCACATATATGTATAATACTATATATATATATATATAATATGTAATAATAACATGTAATAATATATAATATATCAAGTAATAATATGTAATATATCCTAAGTAAATTTTCAAATTGAATTCAGTGTAAATTATTATATAATTATTATGTAATTTACACATTTAAACTAAATAAAAATATATATTTCGCGCACAAACATCTAGCACATTGGTTTACACGACCAAATGAATCTTCGCTAGTACAAAATCTAGTCCCTGAATCGTACATTCTATTTATATGTAGAATTATATATTATCAAAATTACCTATGCAAACACGATCCTGGTGTATCCTCATCGGAAAAATTAGCTTTCATATAACTCTTAACTTTCAAATCTTCAACCTCGTAGTATTACAATCCTATGATTAATTTAAATTTATCTTCTTCTTCTTGAAACTGAAAATATTTACAAGTGATTATTAATATAATTAATAACTACTTATTATTCATGCGATATAATATATATAAATGCAAAATAACAAAGTAAGTTTTGATATTTTTCTATCATAAAAATTAAAAAAAAAACGAAAAATATGATAACTAATTAATTAATTATATTGATATATGTATTTATGTATACATATTTTATAACAAATTATTAATAATTTTTAACTACTGATTTACTTGTGCTATTGATGTAAAATTATCTTACCTTAAAAATGATATTCTAAATAAAATACATTTCTATATGTTACGTTTTTGGCATTGGTTGTGTATATGTACATGTGTACACACATTCATATGAAACACCGTACAGAAAAAGCTGTATGATCTTATTTTACAAAGAATTTAAAAGACTTTTANACTCAAGAGAAATTATACAGATTGTGACAAACAATTGCTCTAACCACCACACGTAGAAAAACATTAAACTTTAAATATCTTACAAAAGCTTTACATATATATGTATATATATATATATATATATACGTATATAAAATGTGCACTATCGCAAGGTAGAGATGATATATTTAACAGAATAAAACTCTCTACAACTTGTCATTAGCGTTATCTAACCAAACATCAAAAATATTTTATGCAAGAGTCCTCCTACGCTTCTAGCTAATCTATCTTCTTTACTGACGCAAATTCTTGAACACGCTGAACGGTCTATCTTCNTAGGACGAGTGATTTTCACTTCTGTTTTGTACATTGTATATTTACAAATTTACAGTGTCACACAGCTTGAAGAACACATTTGTCCACTGTACAAGTTTTTTTTACAGCAGTGACTTCTGGTAATGAAATAGTATTGATCATCGACTAGTTTTCTTACGTCTTCGTTTTGACTCACCGGACGGATTCCATTCTGGATCAACATCGGTGTAACAATAATTTACCTTAGGAACGTTTCTCTTTGAGCTTCTCGTTTGTCTAATAGATGACTGCGTTTTTTTTGCTTTTTTACACGTATTATCTTGCTCCATCGTATCTGCTTCCATACGTTTCAGAGATGTCGAATTTGTTACCGACACGTCTCTGCACTGTGCGGGCGTCTTAAATGTCCTTTCTTGACATGTTTCCAGGCACATCGCGTTAGACTGATCACCATTCGGTCGAAACGGACGCTCGTGACTCTCTTTCGTAAGATTATGACGCGAATTAGAAATGTGCATATCTTTGTAATAATCCCTTCGTACTATATTAGAGTTGAAATGATAACCATGAGATCTATCTTCTTTGTTGGAAAATAGTTCGTACGATGATTTAATAATTTGTGAGGAATGCTTCTGTGCATCAGCTAGCGGTTCTAGGGCTGCTATAGACATCATAGGTATTCCAGGATAGTTATCCAATTTTTCCGTTTTAATAGGTAGTTCCTCGTACGCCATAGACATCATGGCATGAGCTTTCAGTCTCTTTTTTAGGGGNAACTTGTCCATGTCTTTCTTAAATAACTTTTCCGGCTCACGTTGCATATCCAGCTTTTCCAACGTGTTATTTTTTTGTAGCGATACTCTTTGCTCTATTTTACATAATATTTGATCGTCATACAATTTACTGATTACCGCTTCGCTTTTTGTCCTATCGTGTTCTTNGACGGCGGATGTTTGTACTGACGAATGCGCGGGCAAAAAATAAGAATTACTTTCAATGCAAGACACGTGGGAGTCTCTGGCAGGGTGTATGTACTGTCTACAGTGCGTAACTATGTCATACGTACGACAATCTAAACAAGAACAGTGCGATCTTCCGCAGGAATTGACGGTTTTCGTATGGGAATGGAGCGAAGCAGTGGAATTAATTTTCAAACTGCACGACACGGAAGTGCAGTGCTTGTGATATGGCATACATAGATCTGTGCCGGCGGTGCAATTCCCATAAATTGAAGATATTGGCGGGGGATGAGTGACTGGAATATGTAACGAATGCTGCGAGTCGATTACTTCATGGGAATGCGAATGAATCCCGTTGCATCCTTGTATTCCACAATTTGGTGTAACATGATTATTAAATTCCTGCTTGATGTTCTGTCTGTAAGTAAGGATAGATTTAGATTTTCGCTTGTCGGTCGACTTGTTGATGCTCACATTTGCCACATTTGTATCCTGATATATCGGTGACGTTGCGGATATCACTTCGGACGATAGAGAGCCTTTCTTACTGTAAGACTTCATTTCCGCAATAGTCATCAATTTGGTTTCCTCTTCGGGCTCGATTTTGATACCTTTGGTTCTACTGATAGAAAACTTTTTTTCTTGACACGTGAGATCTTTGTTGTATTGCGATATTTCCAAGTTAAACGGTATATGTTCCGAAGCGTTAACAACCTCGAACGATGCGCAATCTTCCGGTGGAATCATCCAGCTCTTCTCCCTAACTGGACAACTTTCGTCTTCACCGTTGTGATCTCGCGCATTTTCTACTGCTTTATTAATAATGTACAGATTACTATTAGGAGACTTTTGCAAAAGCACAACTGTTTCTCCGTTCAATATAACGTTAGTGTTTTCCTTTGACTGCACATTGCTTTCTGTTATATTTATGTTGTTGGACACCGTGTCTGTTTCATAATTTATACTAGTATGAACAATGTGCGGTATGTTATTGCTTGATTCGTGTTCGCCATCGTGATTCATATCAGTCGTTGATGTTACTTCAATGTGATGCGCTACTTTGCCTAATGCGTCGTCCGGATAAATCCCAACTATTCTATTCATTACTTCGGTAGTTGAATTCTCTAAAATCCGCGAAACCGCATTTAACGAATCGTTAGTATCAGTTTCATCATCGGTGTTTTGATTATAAGGAGAACTTCTCAATGAAGCGTAATCTTTAACCTTAATTTGATCGATTTTTAACTCATGCTCCATTTTCGAATGAGGACCATGTTGACTCGTAACAACATTCGCTAGTAATGACAGCCCGTCTATATTTCCGGGTAACTCTGAATCATGAATGATACAACTAGTTCCCAATGAATCTTGAATATTTGCGTGTAAAATTTTTTGTGGACTTTTTAATAATTTACAATCGAATGTTCGCTCAACACTATCTTTTTCAACTTTTGCGCTTAACATATATCTTCTTTGTTCTTCTATGGTGTATTCTTTATTACACTTTCTGTTCGAACCGATTTCTGAGCTTTTTTGACGATCAGTTTTTATATTTTCGATATCATTTTCATTAGTAGCTCCTGTTTTGCTTGAACACAGTGATGCGTCGGAGATATTAGAAATAGGTTTTTTATCAGCTGTGAGATCTTCAAAAATATTTTCTCTAATATCACGATTAGAGAATTTGCTATCATTTACATCATTTATTTCGATGCAAGTATCGACATGTAAATCTGTTTGTACATTAGAATGATCTCCGTTTGTTACATTAAAATTTGCAATACCTTTTTTCACTGATACATATTCATCCTGTGATTCAACCTCTTTTGGTATATTTTTAATAATGTGCAGTTGTTGTAATCGATCGGATTCCATCATATTATTTACCGATACTTCTGTACTACTTACTGTCACAATACGAGTTTTAGCCGCTGTAGAAATTGCCAATTTATTTTCACTTAATTCACTATCAACTCTGATTGACTTTGAATATCGTACTTCGTTACTTTTACTATGAATATTTTCTTGCGTACATTTTTCATTATCACCGATATCATCCGTTTTTTCATTGATTGTTCCATTCTTTTCATTGTTCCAGAGCATATGTATCAGAGACGGAGATAATTTATCTTTAGTTGTACTAAGATAGGTAGCGTTATATGCTTCATCTTTGGAATTATCTTGGATACATATTGCGAGAGAAGTATTTACAGTTTTACAGTCCTCTGTTTCTAAATCACAGATTTTCTTTAAACTTTCATTTTTTTTATATGTTTCACTTTCAGGGAAAGCGTCTTGTTCTATCAGTCGTTTAATCACAGTCTGTGTGTGTCTATTATTAAATGTTTCATCATTGATTCTATCCCTAGCTTCGTGATATTTATTAATGTTATCAGTATTATTCGAAACGTTCAATAGCGAATTTGTAGAGGTTTTACATTTATTAGACTGTGGTTTATTAACGATTACAGAAGAAAGTGTGTAAGGTATTACAATGTCATTTTTGCCACTGCTGTTTGTATCCACTGATTGTTTTGCAGATACTGTATGCTCTGTTTCAAAATATTCCTTGGATTTTATTTTATCGTTATCTGTCTTCATATCCCACGTTGCGGATGATTTCAAATCATTCTTCGAGAATGCATTCTCTGCAGTACACGTAGGTTGAATCAAGTCTTCCGACCGTTGTTCAAAAATGGAGTTTTTCGACCAGTTCATATTTTTCGCCACTTGTTGCTTCTTCATCTTCTGCGACGCTCTTATCGTCTTTGCGTCGAGCTTCTTCGCTTCTTCGAGCCATGCAACTTTTCTTGATTTTCTTCTCGCTATGTGTCGTTCGAAAACAGTGTCACTTGTGAGATCAATTAATACAATTTTTGTGGATTTACTTTTTTTTCGCGAAAGAACTTTCGGTTTTATTGACTTAGAAATAGTCCGTGTGACAGAAATATTTGTAGAAATTGTGCCTAACGGCTTAATATTTATTTGTTTGTTTAAACTCGAGGATTTTAAATTATCTGATGAAATACGGTTACTTTCTATATTCTTATCTGAAGAAATAAGATTACACTTATTTTCAATATGATTCGTATTTTCATTTTCGCGTGGTGTAATCTCCAGCTAAGAATACATACAAGCTTCATTAGCCTCTTTTAATTAGCAAACAAAAACATAATTTCAACACTTCGCCAACGGACTTCGTTTTTTGATAAGAAATTCTATTTAACGCATGTAAAAAAATGTTTTTATCTAATTATTATTATAAGTTTACTTCTTTTACATGACATTTAGATTAAGAAAAACTACGTTCGATCAGTATTAACTCTTTCGATACGACGGGCGACTATAGTTGCTCTCCACAAAATTTTGTATGTTTGCATTGAATTTGCAGTTTCGATCTTTGTTAGGAAAATATAAAACTCTGTCCATGCTTTGTTTACATTCTGAGTCTACATTTACGCGTACAATGTCGTAGAATATCGCTTTATCTTACTTTGTCTCGATGTCTTTCTTCACTTGATAAACATGTAGTTTTCTCTAAACGTACAATAAGCGTATTCTCAGTCGTAAGTCTGATGTCAAAGAATAGAGACAAAACGTATACCAAGTGATATAAATATACTAAAAATAACTATATAAAATATATCATTTCAAACGTCTATCAATACAAAGATATAACTAGTTATGTTTCTCTCTCTAACTTTTATTTTTTTCTAATTGTAATATATTTTATAGATTTTCTTTTTTTGCAAAATGATTAAAAATAACAAAAATCAAAGTAATAAAACAAAGCGGCATAATAAAGAACACTTGGAAGACGACATAATTACCTCATATAAAAGAATTCGAAGAAATATATTGAGCATCCGAATCCGAAGAACAAAATTTGACTGACTCGAAAAAAAATATATNGAATATTACATAGACTTTCGAACCGGTCCGACCTAAAATTTATCAATTTTCTAAACGACATTCAAGAATAAAAGCATTAATGTTAGATTATTTTCAGTTATTCTTTTCTGAGAACTTTGTACAAGTTTTTGTTGANACGACAAATGATTATTAGAACCGAGTAAATAATAATAATAACGTTCTAAGAGATTCACGAGGTACTTTTCTTACTGAAATGTATTGTTTTCTTTCTATAAAACTATTGATGTCGCGAGACAAAAAATTATCTCATCTTGAATATTGGTCTAATGACAAACTTTTGAAAAGTAAAATTATATTAAATATATTATATACACATATATATTTTATAAATATATAAATATATTAGAATAAATATATAAATATATTAGAAATTACAAATATCCTGTTTTATATAATCTTGTTTTAAAGAAATTTTATATTATCTTGTTTTAAAGAAAAATCCTTTTTCTTCCAAAAAGCAATGTCAAAGCACCGTTGTTTAGTTGTAAGACGTAGCGTCGAACGCTAAAGACTGTCTGCGCGCACCGTGAATACTTTTGGCGCGGCGTCCCGTATAGTGGAAGCGTTCCCACAGCGGCGAGGACCGCTGTATCGAAAGGGTTAAGCGTGTCTATTAAACATCTATACTTATATCTCGTCAGCGAAGTGTTAAAATAGAATGGTATGTATTATTTCGCTTATATACACACACATGCACGCACGCACGCACGCACGCACGCACGCACAAATCTTTTTTTTCGTTTTTTTAAGAATAAATCAAATTGCATCCAGAAGTGAAAAATGTTTTTATATCTTATACTCAAAATTTTTTTGAGTTTAAAATACAATATACAGATATAAATTTAAACTCATAACTTACCACATACATATGCAAATGCACACACACACATAATAGATCTCTCTTATATATGCAGATTTTCAAAAACTTTGCATAAAAATAATCTTTCTTACCATTTTTGAAACAGAAATATTTGTATGACTACGTAAAATGAACAACATTTTTATAGAAAATATGTAAAACTTAAGATAGTAATACGTAGATAACATACCAGTTGTGATGTTGGTCTCTTGGATGAGCTTGGAATAGTAGTTGCATTTTCACTTTTTTCTTGCCGTATATCACCTCTATTNTTTTTACAGAACTGTATAAATAATTCGCAGCATTTTCTTATGTTAAATTTATGATGCATCAGATGTTTTGCAGAAGGTGGTTGACACTTTGGCACTTTCGGTAATACATCTTCTAACGAATATGGTGGGAAAGTAGGTGGTGGTATTCCCAAAGAGGCAATTGCGGTTGTAGTAATTTCTTTTCTTACGATCATATCGATATTTATTTTTCTCCACAAACAATAAATAAGAAGATAACGAACGTACATAACATTTGATTTGGGATGTGCTGGAATAGTTTTAGTTACTTTTCTGAAATCAAATAGAAATATAACGCGTGATATGTACATATTTATATTANACGTAATATTTTATAAAATATCACGTACTTTAAAACAATAAAATAAAAGTTATTTATAGAGAATTGTGTGTAAAGTATATTAAAATATGTGTTTAGCAAAAAAATAGATGTTTTTATCTTATACCTAAATATTATGAAAAACAATTAACAGATATAAGTTTTGATTAATGTAATATTGTTCGATTTAAAATAAATTATAACAAACCACGCTTTTACAAAGCCACGTTTAGATTTCGTATCAATCATTGTATACTTACGTTATTATTGGATCTAAAATATGATGATAATTCCGACACATAAATTGTATTTTTATTAAAGTATCTAATAAATGCTCTGTGGAATGTTCTGTGGATAAATAAATAATAGATATTATTATTATTATTATTATTATTATTATTATTATTAATTAAAAGGTAGTTAAATAAGTTTAAAATACATACCTAAATATACATAAAGACAAGACGTAAGCCTTGTACAAATTTCATTATGATCCTCAGTATTTTTCTTTGAAGCTTTTAATTCCACATCTATGTATANTGCCAATAAATCGGACATATTATTTAAATAAATAGATCTATTACGGTCCTATAAAAAGATAAATTTTATTTTTTTTAATAATGTCGTTGTGTGCGCGCGCACGTGCATGTGTGTAGAAAAATAGAGCATATATGTATAGTTTTTATAGATACATTATAAAAGATTTATTTATTGAACTTACCTCAGAAAGTTCACGATACATATATAAGAACAAAAGTAAAGTTTCACTAATATAATCCTTTAACTTTGCTGCCTTTAAAGGCTTTATAGAACATTTATTTACACTTATACTCATATTTCTGTAATAAAAAAACACAACAATTATACATTTTACATGACAAGGAAGACAGTTTAAAACACTTATATTTTTATAAATGTATAATATATGTTCACAGTACTATTTAGTTATTCTATAAAAATAGAATACAAATGTAAATAAAAAAAAGATTAACATAATTCTGTAAAACACAGATGGTTTTAATGGAATAATTTGATATTCTTCCTCCCCCAAATATCTGTATATTAAATCTTTATTTTATTTATACATAAATTATGTTTTTTTAGCAAATGAGCTCTAAAGTAATTTATAATTTTATATTCTTATTTTATAATATAAGAGACAATAATGTTTTACTTTTCAACTTGTAATAATCTAATTAACTAAATCAGATCATTGTATAAATAACAAGATAACGCTCAAGATCAGTTCAATAATAATANATGATACAAGAGATTGTACAGCTTTTCAAATTCAGAAAAAAAGAAGTGATATTCAATGATTCACACATTTTACATATAAGTTTTTTAGAAAAACATATTCGCTATTGTTACTACATAGAAATTTATACACAAGCGTGCAAACGCTGTGAGGATACTATTTTTGAAAACAGCAATTATTACCTAACCTAACCTACGCTATAGAAATATCAGAACACCAGTGCTCAAAGCANTAATACTGGTGAATTGTATACAGAATTACAGGAAATACCAAATGTACAAAATTACCTGATATAGTACTGCATAAGCTCTGCTAAGGAAGCCATACTTTTATCTGTATATATACATTTGCACATTTTTTTAAATTCTGAGACCCATGGAAAAAATTCTGTAATTGTTGATTTTGCTTCGTCATTGATTAGTTTAGATTCTTCTTCATTGAACATTGCGGTTTTTACATCTAAACATTAATTAAATTAATCACATCAATCTAAACATCAATCATATCCAAACATTAATCAACATTTATAAATTTCTTAGCATGTTTAATCAATGTTTATAAATTTCTTAGCATGTTTAATCAAACACATAAAAGATAAATAAAAATAACATAACTATATAAAAGAATAGTTGTGTAATGTATAAATATATAAAATCACAGTTGTAAATTCTTTTTCGTTACGTGGAAGAAATCTTTTATGAATACAGTTATAAATAGAATATATACATCTACTATATTAAATATCTTTATAGTGCACGAGTGTCGCAATTATATATAATTTGATGTCACTTTTTTCACTTTCTAATTGCTATTTCAAATTTAAATATTCTTCCGTATTTTATCATAAATTTAAAATGCTACATTTAATTACTCAAAAAATATTTTTTAACATGTCGGAATAAGCAACATAACCTCAAAAATAGTAAACACGGTGATCACCGATGTGAAATTGTACACATTTGTTGTTAACACTTTTTTTTGTATTTCTACTAAAAAAAAAAAAACCTACAGAAATTGTTGCTAATAGCAACAACTGATGAATTTAATGAACGAATTGGAGCAAAAAAGATTGTTTACTGGTCTGCGAAGTTTAAAGTCATGTTGCAGTGTGACAACGCTCGCTCACTCATATTGCAAAAAGATCAAAAGAGGTTCGCTATCTTTGATTTGAATTGAATTGGGAAGTCTCCCTCACGCTGCTTATTCAACAGACCTTGTCCCAACCAATTACCATTTGTTTAGGTCGCTCCACCATCTAACTGACACGCACTTCACTTCACTCGATGTACATACGAAGAAGCGTCGATGAATTTATCGTATTAAAACCAATAAAGCTTGTTTTTAACGTTATAAAGGTTACGAGAAAATCTAATTTCCTCAGCAATTTGATAATACATTTTGTGTAATATTTTTGTTAAAAAAAAGACGCTAAATTAGTCGTTGCACCTAACAACTTTTCATGTTACCGAAAGCAATATCATTTGACGATTCTCATGAAAAAAAGGATTTCACCGATTAAAAAAAAACGTAACAATAATCGCTAAGTGCTCAATAGGAACGTTATTGCATGATAAAATTTAAATAGAGCTTTATTTGCAACATATTTCCATTTTTTATTCTGATCTGATAAAAAAAAAAAAAAAAAAAAAAAAAAAAAAAAAAAAAAAAACTATATATGTAGAAATTTATCATTCAATGATAACATCGTTAGATTTTTGTAGTTTGTTTATATCTCAATAATATCATCTATTGTTTTTCTTACAACAACCCTGATCGTTTAAATAACATCTGTCGCGGCAGATGTAAGGTCAACATGCAAACTATAAATTCTGGTTCAACAGCCAATTATATATTTCACAAATGGTTTTATTGCATGTAGATTTTCCGGAAAAGAATAACATAAACGAAGACGATAAAGTACGTATATAAAATTTTAAAGTTAACACACAAATCAAATTTTTAGAAACTTCAAAATACAACGATTTTAGAAAATTTGTGTATTAGTAAATCGCAAGTTGCCAAAAGTTATCGAGATAGACGATAAAATAAAAAAAATAACGTGAAGAAGCGGACACACCGATAGTAAATCTCGAGAACGTATCGATTGTCTTGAAATGTCGTCAAGCAATGTCGTGAAATATTTTCCGATACGTGTGTAACTCATAATTTTCTTGTACGTAAAATTTTCAAAGAAACGAGTAGAAACAAAAAATATAAACAATGTATGTACATCTGCAATACTTGTTATTATACGCAAATATAATTTAATAATTAGCAATTATATACAAGTACACGCGAGATTTTGCACAAGTTTGCGGTGATGTGCCGTTCGCGTAAAACGCGATTTTGTTTGCACTCGAGGACGGAAAAAACGTACCTACCAATTGTTTTCTCGACGTAACGCGTTCGATTTTACTTCGAGTCATATTAATTTTCGTCACTCGCGTCATTACTCGACAAACATCGAAAACTCCATTTTGCGCAAGTTTACACGTAAGCAGGGCGAAAGCTTAAGTTCTTAGCATAGCATTCCTCAACGAGCGAATTGCCGGAGGAGTCACGCGGTTTGCGCGTTGTTCGGACGCGAGCGAGCGAGCGAACGAGCGAGAGGAAGAGAGAAAAAGAGAGAGAGGAAGAGAAAAAAGAGAGAAAAAGAAGAATAGAGATCGGGGAGTTTGCGGAATAAAGTTCAATGACAATAACAATAAACAACAAATCGATCGCGATGAGTTAATTCCGCGATCTCACGCGAAAACACGTTCGTAAAAAACACAATAAATCACTCTCGGATTTTGATTTCATTGATTGTCCTCGGCGAAAAGGACAAGGCGTCAATCAAGANAGTACGTGCGCATATATATGGACACGTTGCTCCAGCGCGAAGAATTAAAGCATCACGTACCTTGTACCGTACCGATCTGTTTGCCGCTCGCGGTTGTCGCCGCTTCTGGCGTGGCGCAATTCATTTTGCGAATACGTCCGTTCAAATCCGGGTATTACGTAAAAACGTCCTTGCTCGTAGCATACCTCATGTTTTAGTGAGAGCGAACTGACTACTATCGCGTCCGCGTCTCTGCGCGCAATGCGTTCACATCTACGGCCATATTGATACTGACGCTTGGCGCACCTACCGCAAGAGAGCGTACTCCGCGCCCCCACCGCCACCGGCTTTACCACTGACCGATGCGCTTTAACGTCTCTTTTCTCTTTCTATGGTTTTTTTTTATCCGTTAGCAGCATTTTTCACTACGCGTTCTGTCTTGTTACACGAGTAAGGGTGATTTTTTTTTCTTTTTCTGTTTCGCTCTTTCCTTCGCTCCCGTTTCTCTCTTTCCCTGCGTTCTTCACTTCGTTGTGGAATTTTCCGCGACACGCGAGCGTCAGCTTCATACTGGACAAAGACGCGTACGACGTTGCCGCAGCGCGGCAGTGGTGGCGGCAACGGCGACAGCTATCGATGTCGAGCGCATTCCAAACTTCGATACTCGTCTCGTCCTCTCTCTCTCTCATTCTAATAAGTACGCGCACTTCATTCCTCAACACTGTCAGTCTCTTTCTCTCTTCCTCTCGAAGGTTACTAGCGCCAGTGGCGCGTAGTTTCAGAAATGAATAGCTGATTCGTCGGCCGTCCAGGTAACCCGGCCAATGAAAGCGCGTTGCACGCGCAAAGCGCAAATCACAAACCGAGGACATCGTTATCCCTCCTCCGCGGCAGGTCCAATCAAATACGAGCAATTAAGTAATTGCAGAGCGCGAGGCATTCGCGCGCGGAAACGTACAGGCGTGCGTTAGCATAGCTTGGCTAATGTGATGATACTCAAACTCAGGTATTCGCAATTTTTAAATGAGCACACCGGAGTATCGGAAGTTCTCTCTCTCTCTCTCTCTCCCCCTCCCTCCTTCCCTCTCTCTCTCTCCCTCCCTCCTTCCCTCTCTCTCTCTCTCTCTATTCCTCTTTCATTCTCTCTTCTTCCGATGAATAGTGAATCGATATGTGTGTGTGTTGTGTGTACTTCAAGAATATTAACTACAAGACTCACGAGAATTTTAAGAGCAAACCTGAGTGGTTAAAGATTTTTGAGCAAAGTCAACACAAGTATTTTGAAATCACCTGTCCTTGCATAATCAGAAATATAAATGTTTTTTTTTTTTTGTTTTTTTACGTTGTCTGTTGATTATACGTATCACGGCCGACAATAAAAGTGCGTCAAAAGTTATTCGGTGCACAACAATAAAAGAACTTTGATTAATATTTTGAAAATTTTGTATTTTTCTGAAAATAATTTGACTTTAAGCTTTTTTTTGATGAGTCGTAAATCCGAATTTAGAAATAGTGTATTTATACAAGATGTGTATAGTAACAATAAAATAGTAACAATAATAGTAACAATAAAATTTAATGAAGTTTAGAACTTTTATGTAACAGCAGAAAAATTAGATTAATTGTTCGACATAATTTAGAAGAGTTTTTGTTCTTCTTTCCAAAAAAACTCAATTTTCTTCTTAAGACAAACTAATTTTAATCTATATGCGTGAAAAATAAAAGTAAAGTAGCTGATATTTTCTAAAAATAAAAGCAATTAATGAAAACAATTTACTCATACTTTTAAAGAGCACTGTAAATTAGCTGTAACCGAGGATATATGTACTAGTTACTAGTGTCATATGTGACATGCACAGTAGGTACATGCAATTTCCACGTCAATTATGTTCCACAACAACGTAACAACGCTTCTGTCAGTTTCCCGTTTGCACAAACGATATGAAACCATTTCGAGCCAGTCGTGGAAGAAGGAAACCAGGACGTCTCGTGGGAGAGAACCGGAAGTATCTTGTGAAAGGGTGAGAGGAGACTAAACTTTGCTCAAAGGATACACTTCCCTTTCTCCTCTTCCTTCTTCGAGCTCGTTACCACCGAGCTGTTTCCTGAAGTATCACAAAGCAAAGCACAACTACCCACAAGCAATTCGCTCAGTGAGTACTTCTGTGAAGCAAAGTCGTCTTGAAACATCTCGATGTGTTATCAAACGTCAACAACGTCATCAACAATGATGATGATGTTGACACCAACGGCACAACAGCTTAACGTTCAACAACTCCCACGCTGAACTAGATACCAATAACCTTTCGGAAAAAGTTCGTAGGATGCACGGCTCTATGATACACAAAAGAAGAAAAGATCATTTTGACGGAAACAAAAGAGAAAGAGAAGAAAACAACAACGTTTTTATCGATATATATATACATATATATTAAACTTAACCCTAATCCTGTAAACATTTTTTTAGCTACGTATTCTGTCAACTCTAGACATTTATGTCCGACGCGATAATTTTTTGGTTAAAGCGTTGCAAAAATTCTGTAAACATTTATGGAGCTTTATTTAACACTAGAACTACTGGCTAGTCAAAATGAAACTGGTTTTAGATTTTTATTTAAAACTTACTCAAATTTATAACATTGCATTTCAGACATTTTTTATGACTTTTTTGCAGTATATAAAGAATTAAGTTTATCAATTTGTTCTTAAAAATTTATAAAATGCAAAGCCATTAATTTGAGTAATTTTTAAATAAAAAGTTACCACCAGTCATTTTGACTGCTTTGGTAGTTCTAGTGTTAAGATTCTATATTGAAAAAATAACAGTTTTTATATATTGTTTTATTTTTTAGTATTCTCCTAATTAATAAAATTTTCTTATTTTCAAGAATTGCTCGGACATTAATGTCCGGGGTTTACAGAATTAATATCATTTTTTCGGAAAACTATGTACAGCTATTTTTAACGTACAAAGTAATATTAGCAATAAATTAGAAATTAAAGAAAAGTGTTCGTCTATAATAAAAGCAGACAGGAAAAGAAAAAGCGAATACCAACACTCTACAGAAAGAGAACGCGACAAGAAAAAAGCATTCGTGTATACCCTATGCCACCTTCCGTTGCGCGTGCGCTCTCTATCGGAAAGCTCGGCTCGTTCTGTCGGTCCTCGTCGGACGTAACCGCGATCCTTCGTTCCGCCGGTGTCGCCTATCTTGAGCTCAGTGAGCCGGTGTGTGAGCGCCGCGACGCCTAGAATAGTATTATCGTTGTCGGACATTATCGCCGTCGTTGTTGTCCACATCGTCATTATTCTTGTTCCTGCCGGCGTGGATTTACGACGACGATTCCCAACGTTTTCTGTCTTGTCCTCGTTGCCTGTCGGTAGTCGTTCTCGATCGAGCGTAGTCCATCTTTGTCGTTCTCGTCGCCTTCGTGATCATCGTCGTTGTCGTCGTCGTCATTATTGTTATTGTCATCGTCATTATCTTGTTACTCTCACGGTGGTGCTGGCATTGTCCAGGAGGCACGTGACTATATTATTACGAGGCGGTTCCGTGTGCGAGTCGCAGTCGAGCTACGCAGCAAGAGAGACAGACGAGTGCAGAAGCCCTTGCCTCCCCTCTTCCACTCGTCTCTTCCTTCTCTCTTCTTATTCCCACTTACTCTTACCTCATATGCATGCTTTCGCTTTCTGATACATCTTTTGCAAACTACTCTCGTAGCTCTCTTGTTTTCACAATCTCGTTCGCCTTTCGCAAAACGACGCTTGTATTTTCTATATCGTTCTGCGCCATCAATACCGTCGCCATCTCCTTGTTGGCTCTCACGTGCTACGCTATACATGATTATAGATCTCGTGCAGCACGAAACAGATCTTTCTCGGTTTTATTTTCTGCGAGTTCTGTCCAGTTCAACTTCTGCCAACGTCTAGACAGTCGCACATAACAAGGGCAAATAAAATGGAGAGAGAAAGAGAGAGAGAGAGAGAACATAGAATATAGGATAAAGTGAGTCGAGAAAACCGGAAAGAAAAAGAGATAAAAAAAGAAAAGATAAAGTGAAAAAAAATTAGAATGACGCAACGCGTCATAGCATTGTACTCGTGTCGTGTCTGCAAAATATCCACATCCTCTAAAGTGGACATTTGTATAAATGTACTTACAGTCCTTAAATCTTGCCTTCAGAAAGACATATTCTATACGGAGAAAACAAAAAGAAATTCGGAGAGAAGTAGGCCTTTCACGAATAGGAAAGGCGTTAGAGCGAGAGTATAAAAAAAAGAGTGTGAGAGAGATAATGTATGCGCATGAGAGTGTCCGAGAAAAAAATTGTACGATAAAAAAAGCGATGCTCAAATGTGATGCTACGTATTGTGAGGGTTGTTCCGAAGGACGACGGTAAACCAAATGATTCATTTTGCGTGGTATATGTGTATATATGCGCGCAAAGAACTCGCGTTCTACGTGTTGCTGTGAGCTAAACGATAGCTCAATGACGATCATCAAGTTGGCAGATGACAAGAACTCCGCGAAAGGCATGTTAGACCGTGATATGCAGTTTCGTCTCAACTTCGGCTCATTTGCACAGGAAAGTTTTATCGATGTATAACCGTTATTAAGTACTCGTTACAAGCTTGCACGCAATTACTGTTGATGTATTTGCTATATATTTGAGATGATCAATGTGTATGCACGTTGGTGGTGTTATTGTCTGAAATGCAAGCGCAACTTTGTATTTTATCGAATTGTCACACTTCGCTAATTGATCACATTCTAAAGATTCTATTGCCAGAAAATATGAGAACTTAAAAGGTGTATACATTTCAACGGAATTTAAGATTATATTTAAAAATAAAAAACTTAAATTTCGTTTATATTAAGTTTATATTTAACAATATAAACTTAAAGGAGCGGCAATTCTCTCTTGTTGGCAATCGGGTCTTTTGCAAATTGATGATGTTTCAGTATTATATTCAATGTTGCCGTTCAGTTTCATCTATACATATACATATATATATATATATATATATATATATATATATATTCAGTTTCATATATATATGTGTGTGTGTGTGTGTGTGTGTATATATATACAGGGTGTCCCAGAATTGCCGTACAATCTCTCGTAGACAGGTAGAAGGAGTAAAACTAGGTCGAAAAGTCCTGAACCATTTTTTTCTATTATTTATAATAAAGAAGTAATTATTGAGTAAATCAGGCCAATCAGCGCAGACCTTTAGCCAGGCGCACGTCAGTGAGCCACGCGCTTGATGTGTGTGAGCGCTCACTGATGTGTGGCTGGCTAAAGGTCTGCGCTGATTTGGTTAAACCAATTCTGGGACACCCTGTATATATATATATATGTATATGTATATGTATATATGTATAATGCGAATTTTGATATAATTATGAGAGAATAATCAGTTAGTTTTAATATAATGTAAATACATGAATCGAGTTTGATGTAATTCTGATACTTCCAATATATTTTTGCAGTACAAATGCATGTCTTTGTAAGTATATTTTACATAAGAGAATTCAAAGCAAATTAAAAACATTCTAGACTCGTTTTTAAAAAAAACATCTACATATACATTTGTGATATGTAACACAAATTTATATCATAATAATACTTGCTTGATGTTATGAACTTATAAATGTATGTAAACTGAATATTTCCCTTTCATTTGTATCCTCATTATTTGGAAATAAAAGAATAATAAAGAGTTACCTTCTCCCTTTTGTATAATGTCATCTATCAATTTCATAAAAAGAATATGAAACAATTTCCTTTTATTACGATGTGCTAAATGTTATTAAAAATTCTCTCAGAGAATATGTTTTTTATTAACTCTATCACATCGTCTATCATGGTTTATTTTTCAGAACGTAAATATATATATATACAGTCCTAAAACTGGTTAACATCTCTCGTAGACAGATAGAAGAAGTAAAACTGAGTCAATAAGTCTTATACCATTTTGCTAGGTTCGCAATGGTTACCGAGATCTTAATTAACAAAGATCCGCGAATAAGCATGCATCGGGCTGTCTTACACGCGTAAGACAGCCTGGCGCGCTTACGGTGTTACCCGTAACATAGGAAGAGCTAATATAACAGCATATACTATAACATATACATATTAAAATGTAATCGTGCAAAGCGCGCTGGGCTGTCCTACGCGCATAAAATAGTCCGATGCACGCTTATTCGCGGATCTTTGTTAATTAAGATCTCGGTAATTATTGGGAATCCAGCAAAATGGTATAGGACTTATCGACTCAGTTTTACTTCTTCTACTTGTCTACTAGAGATGTTACACCAATTCTGGGACACTCTGTATATATATATATATATTTTCACAGGCAATATTATATAATTGAAAGTATTTGTTTTATTAATACATATGTTAATATTTGACAAACAAAGTAAAATGAATTTGTTTGTTGATATATTGTCATTTTAATCATACGAGGAAAGAAGAAAAAATGAGTAGTTTTTACGGATATTTTATACAATACTAATGCAACATTTGTTATGAAACAGAATGCTTTTAATGGTCCTTACGCAAGCTCATAAAACGGAAAACTGATATGAGCGTATCACGCCCTTATCGCATAATATAAATTTATGTGACAATACCTTTCTATTATGGCTAGCGATAGCAGAAGCAATGGCGGTAGCATTAATATTACCAAGTCGCTTCGTTGTAATGTATAGCTGTACGCGCGGTGCTCTCTCTCTCTCTCTCTCTCTCTCTCTCTCTCTCTCCCCCCCCCTCTCTCTCTCTCTCTCTGCGGCTCACAAAGCAAATAATACACTTCACATGCAAAATACTACACGTATAGAATGTCTCACGATATAAAACTGTACCAGTGTGTTTTTTGTTTTGTATATCTTTGATATCAAGCTTGTATTCACAAACGACCGATATATTAAAATGTAACACACTTATCAATGTATTGATATTTTTCATATTTGTTAAGTGTTAAATAAAGCTTTGTATAAGCACTTGTTTATATAGTAAGGTTTTTTTTCCTATCTATAGAGCCGAAACATACTGGCATGGTTGACTGTTAAATTCCAGAACACTATATATTTCAATTGTGGAACTTGCGTTAATTGTGCATGAGCGTGATTACTATGTTAGTTTTATCATCCTCTTGTACATGAATAATGGTAAACAAGTGAGCACATAAATTCAACGCAAGCGCATTTAAAAGTGACTTCGAGGATTTCTGACGCACTGTCTTTTAATTGATCGATCGATCCAATGTACGCGGGCGTTCAAAAGCGCTCAAAACAAATATAATGAATATATGTAAATATTGCATGTGGTACATTTGTCGCTTATAAATACCAAAGTGCATAGGTGGTTCTGTCTGTTTTATCGAAGCGTCGCATCGCTCTTAAAATTCGTAACAGGCTGGCAACAAGCTGGGATAACGTAACCAAACTCAATTCTGCCAACAATCCAAGTTTCAAAACTAAATTTTCTAGCCCGATATGTAATCGTTTTGTCTCTTTCTTGCGTCTACCAAAAGTGAGTGTGTTAGAGAGAAAGAGAGAGAGAGAGAGAGAGAGAGAGTGTGTGTGTGTGTGTGTGTTTACTATACAAAATACGCGAGAAGATATGGCAAGGCAGTAATAAAAATTAACATCGCACACGTTTTTTGGGCTCTTTGTCACGCAATGAAATTTACACACGTTTATAAATAATTACAAGAAATTCGACAAACACACGTGATTGTCGATTTACAATCACTCGGTTGTCGGTTTAATAAAACAGTCCAAGTTCTGAATTTTTGTTGACTATGTATTTCTTTACTATATGTATACTTGCAAAGAGAAGCCGAAAACCAGTTTACGTTGTCCTTTACAAGAAAACCGTTTTAGGTCGTAGAAGGTATGCAAAGCTTCATTTTGCATGCGAATGAAAATTTGTGCTTTGCATAACTTGCGAAATAAATTGTGCAAAATTAAAGCTTCCTCTAACGAATATGTTAACGAACTAAAAGTTAGAAATGTAATTAGAGGATGCGAGCACCGGAAAGTGCAATATTTATCAGATTGTATGATTACACAACTGTATATTTCATTTTAATTAACTCATTAATTTAAGTAAACTGTAATACTTTAACAATAAGAAAATTAATTCAATATTTATATGATTTGAGGAAAAATGTATAGTATGTATTTAACTCTAAAGTTACACATGAATAACAATATAAAATATTTTTAACAAATAAAGATAAATAAATAATGAAATAATTTACTTAAATTTGACAGAAATAAAAAATCTGAGGAGAAAATATATATTTCGAACACTATGAGGTTTGTCAATCTAATTTTGCGTAATATCGTTGCAAAGAGCTATGCAATTCGTCATCGAATCTATGATTGTATTAACCTTCAACATCCCAAGACGAAATGATCAACAGCACGTGATACGATATGCGATATCGATATCTTTACTGCCGCTCGAGCACGCACTATGCTACGATCTTTAACAGGTTTGCTCTAGCAGGCTACACTATCGACAGGCAACATAACTATCATCCCTCGAATCTGTTCTTGGCCTTCTTATTATCGTGCACCATCTGCGCGACAGAATGAACAAACAATTCGCGAAGAAGAACGTGGTACATTCGACGGCAAGAAGATAAGATTACGTGGTACTGCAAAATCGGAATCGCGTTATGTGATAAATGTCAATGATAGTGTTAGTGTACGATATAATCACAATGATATGTTGCATTCTTCTTATCCGTAACGGAACAGCTAATGGACATGAGTGAGACACGAGTGTGACTGTGCATCGCGAAACTGATCGTTTTCGAACCCACGTGTGAGATCATAGACGTTTGTTCTCAAGGAGATTGCTTTCCAGTGATCGGTGAGTAGCGCTTTACTGTCACAAGTGTCCTTGTTGTCGTGACGTCTACTTGGTGCTAGAGCAAAAGGACTGACTTGCATTTCCGTACATAAGTATTTAAAGAATAAAAAAATCCTCTTTTTGAAACGTTTTCTTTTTTCATTTCACAAAACAATTTCTTATTGGTAAACAAATTAAGGCAACAGATGTGTTTACTTGTCTTTTTTTTGTAGGTAGATACTCCTGTTATTTTGTAATTTTACATAATTTTCTTTTCATGTCTGCAAACTTATAGAAAATGATTTAAAACTTTAGTTTTATAAGTAAATATCAAATAATATTAATGTTTTGTAATCTTTCAGCTACATAACCATCATGTCTCTTATGGTTTTTGTAAATCACAATTAAAACAGAAGATAATCATTAGAATAAAAGTAAATAGAAAATTAGTTTTAAAATACACAAAGGTATACAGCTGATCGGAACGAATTGTCGTGAATAAACAATTCGACATACCGCGGTTTACATGAAAGTATATAATATCTGAATGATACACATTAAGTATGACTATGCTTGTACATACATTTTGTCAGCAGCACTTGAATAAAGCCACCACAAAATGTTTGTTTTTACTAATAATAAGTAGAAGTTTTGTAATCGTCGGGACTCGCGTGTAATTACTCTTCAATAGCCAACCGCGGTAATTGCATCAAATTGATTCTTGATTCTGGACAAGAATACAATTTGTTTGACTTTATAAGCGCATACATCCAGTCGGCGGCTATGTAATTGCAAACAATATAAGCACTTCTCTTGTCCGTAAAATACCCAATATTATCTTAGAGCTCTCACAAGATTATCAATTCTTATTAAAGTGTCGAGAAGCATCGTGAAGTTTCTCTTCTCGTTATGTACTTTTTTGCTCTTATATAAAATGATTCTAAAATTGTTACACTTGCATATTACACATAATTATTTTAATAAAAATGTAACAGCACAAAAAGCAATAAATAATTTTAAAAAATAAGAAATCATTTATTTTCTTCGAGTTTAAAATAAAGCTCGTGAACGTAAAGTGTATTTCTTACTACCTTTTGAAAACCTATCTTGCATAATTTCAAAAGAGACAAGATATAAACAGTATAGCTACTATTTTGCTACCTAGTATTCAATCCTGACTGCGAGAAAATACAATTAACGCCAGATTGTAAATTTACTCTAGTATAAATATTTGCATCTCGGAACTTCATGCACAAAGCCTGCATATATTTGAATATATCTTCTTTTCGCGGATATTCTGTAGACGCACCGCGTATCGGTGATACGACTAACATTGAGCCTGGAGAAGGTTTATTTCAATCTCCGTATAACTCGCGTAGATCTTGAAGCTACAAAATGAAAGCGTATCGACAAAGAACCGAAGAAATGAAAATAAAGCACACCGAGATTCTTTCACATTTTTACATTTTAAAAATAACAGTGATGAATTATCTTGTTACACTTTTGTTACAAATGTATTGCACACGTATGTGAAATAGAACTTTCGATTAAAATTTGTATGAAATAACATTTAATAAATTATCTTATATGACATATGATATATGCGTATGTACACACACATATATTGTATATGTCCGTATCTTGCTAATTTATAGATTGTTTAACTCCGTTGTAATTTCACACTCTGCTTTTGCCATTTTCGAAATAAGTGGTTCATTCAATTCCCGTAATTTCTGTAATTGTCGTAATTTTCTAGTGGACTGCGTCGTCATTCGATTATCGGCGTAATGCGTTGCGCGCGAATTGACTTTAACTCTTTGTGAGAGGGAATAAAGCGCAATAGAACCAGTTTAACATTTAATTATCTTCTTTTATCACATTGCCTAATATAATTACAGAATTTCCTTTTTTGTGTAAGCAACTTAGAGAAGGAAACGCTTACACTTTTTCATATCAAAGAGTACTATGTATTTTCTTCGAATCTTGTTAACTTTGTTTTTTTTATCTTTTCTCTATAATAAATCTCTTTTTGTCAAATGCTCGTAAAACATTCGATAGCAGTTTGTATATAAGGTCTAGCTTTTCATATTTATAACGCACGTCGTAAAAATTGATCTGATTGAAAACACTGTTTTCGATACTTGCACTTCCAGCCACTGAAATAAAACAAGAGGGAGGGAGAGGAAGAAAGAAAGAGATCGGATTATAAAGACAATACCCTATATAAACGCATAATATTGTATTATTTCATATCAAGTAATATTCTGAACACATTTTTGGAATATTAAACGTACTATTAATATTCATAGAATATTCTAGAATATTCTAAGAATATTGTGTACTTATAGGGTAAGCGCAAAACTTGTAATGAACTATTTAAACAAGCAAAGTCAACTTGTCTTTGCGTTTTTATATGATTCCGATCGTGTAAACATATCGACCTTACGGAAAAGACATGTGCACATTGTAGCTTTATTTCGCAGCAAAGTCGCCTAATATATGATAATAAGGCTACTCTATGAGTGGATATCAGGCTAAGGCAATTCTTTGTCAAGAGCAAAACGATTGCATTCTGTGTTTCAATCGGGCGATGCGGTAATAAAAGAAAGGTGCGAATAACGCGCACGCAAAAGTGGTCACTTGTATCTTTCGCAAAAAGGTGAAAAGGGAGAGAGAAGGAAAAAAAAGAAACGTAAAAAAGAAAATGAGGAGAGAGACACGCGAGTAATTCTAGCGACGTTTCGCGAAATTGCGTTCACATCGTTCTCGCGCATGGGTACGTTGCCATTACCGCTGCCGTACATCCGCCCCGAGTCCATTTTACGGCTGACTCAGCAACGAATTTTCACCGACGTGGCAACGAATATTGCTATTGGTAAAAGTTTCTGAATACCATGGTACCTGCAATTGTCGTCCGAGACGAATATGTATACCGCGCCGCAGGTAAATCCCTCCAAGGAGTTCTTCCGAGGAAGTTCACCGCACAATGTTTTTACTTCTAGAATATCGCGCGTCTCTCATTTCAACAAAAATTCATTCTTATTGTGCCAAAGAAACCGTTCCGTTGAAAAACGAACGTTGGGAATGAGTTAACTCTGTTGCAGTTTCGTTCTATTCCGCGACAGTTACCTGTTTCTGTCCGCTTCCATTTAGCTTCTTTTCGTTATGGCTGGCATTTAAGTCACTGACCACGAACTCGTTCTCTCGGAAAAGCAAGTTGTCCACCCAATAACACGTGGAAAAATGTCATCATTTGACGTCAAAATCATTTTTTCAGAAAATTATATTTTACATTTTGTTTCGCGCGATCTATATTTTATTTATTTTATATCTTAAGAGCTCTCTCGTTGTTTGACACAGAAACTTTGTCTACGCAATAGCTGCGATTTCTTCGCAACAATATCAACGCACTGTCGTCGTCGGTGCGCGCGCAATACACGTAATTCCACGTATATTGCACATAAAATGTTCAAATGCGATAACTCTTGTGAAGTCATGTATATATGTGTAACGTGGCGAAAATGTGATAGATAAACAACATTGCTTTGTAAATATAAATATATTATCTTTTATTACACGATACTGTTACTTTGGAAAAAAAATACGTTCTTTACTTAGTTCAACTGAGTTTTATTTTTTATTTTTTTTTTTTGATAGAGCACAATAGTTTATTAATAAATCTAATTTTCTTTGTTCAAAATTTGACTTAGCTTGTACTTTTTCGATATTCGTATTTTAATACACATACGTAGCTTTTTGAAATTTATATTCAGCTTCAATATACGATCTTACAAGAGAGATTACGATATAATTTACATTACGTTACGCAATAATGACATAATATATTGTCATGATTTCTTTATTGCTATATTGTTGCATCAAGATTTTCGCGAATTTTGTTAGGCTCATGCAAACACTTAAAACATGCGGAAAGCGATACAAACTCAATTTACTGTCGGGGAGAGAAAATACAGATATCGTAGATGAACAATTAAATCCGAGGAAAGTTGACGGAAATTGTTACCAAGAAATGTAAGAACTATTCACTTGATTACGTAATAGAGTTAAAGAATATAGAATTTAGCACATTGGACAAATTATGACAATAGCTCGATCGAAAAAGAAGCACTACAATTCTCGAATTACTCATATCTTTTTTATGTATAACACTTTTGCAGAATATGCGATTGATATCAAAAGTAAATCATGTGCGATAATAAAAAAATAATTAGAAAAAACAAAATTAATAAAAAAATGTAAATAGACATTTTCGCAACAAAGCGAGTAATTGCAATTGTCTTAGCAACTTTATTCTACCTACTGTTTTTCACAATTAAAAGTACGTGCTTTGAACAATTTTACATATATGTTTGACAATTTTACATATATGTCTTACTTTATTTTCCTACTACTAAGTTTTCTGGCAACAGGCCACATATATGGCTATCCTTATAAGTTCAGCCGCAGCAATATTAGCATATGAATTTTCATGAGATTAATATTCATGACGTTATTTGCTTTCTAATGCAGTTATGCATTATGCCAGAAGGATTTCCGGTTATACGGAAGTTTAACAATCAGTAGATATAAACATACAAAAAGCAAATACAGATTAGTTTTATAGAAATAGAAACTAACATGTGGTCCTGAAAAATGAGTAAAAAGTGAAATGTTTTGAAAAGAGACAATTTTGACATAACATTTAATTGTCAATCGCTTAGCTATGTCGCAATATGTACAATTTATGTAACGAGAATTACGAAATACGAAAATGCTTCCGCTAGTTAGCGATGTTTGTTTTGCTTGCTCGCAACAAACAAAAATATACTCATTCTCTCACGCGCCATCCTCAGACTCCAGCGTGATTTACCGGCATTCATGAACTCACCAATTTTATCAATAAACACCGGATGATGAAATACATATTTAATGTCCGTATGTATGTGCACGTGTACGTGCGTATATGTAAATATATTATAATTTGAGGATACGTAATGATTTTACGCATCGAATATATGGTT